TTACAAATTATATTACATTCTGTATTAGCCAATGAGAGACAGATTATAATGGTCCTGGAGGGGCAGAAATTCTACAGAGAACAGCACGTCCACTGGCTATAGTGAAGAAAGTGGACGCCAACACTGCGAGGAGTCTAAATTAGGAAGAGCATTGCCATATGGTATCAGTTTCCCTCTGTGAAGCTTGTAAAAGAGGTTGGAATTTCGAGATGGCCCTTCACAGTTTTGAGAAGGTTGTCAACTGGTACGTTTAAGCCCTTTTTCATGGTGTGGTTTTGCTGAGGTTACCATGGTTTTGTTTATGGCACTTTCATGTTATTTTCGAATTCCCCACAGAGCTAATAAGCAGGGTCCAATGTTTTAACATGTCCTCCTAATAATAGGGTCATGGTTGGGGTCATTTTGATGGTGTGTTCATGATGCGGATCTCGTTAAGTCTTTGTGAATTGTGCCAGTTGGGGGAGGTTAGTAAGTTAGTACTTGGCAAGGAATGCTGGACAATGAAGGGACACCGGAAAACAGGGCTGGGAGGTGACTGGTGGTGGTTATAATGATCAATCAGTCATGAGCATGGAGCATTAAATTGCCCCATGAAATCCTCAAGAAATAAACACCCTGAAAATAAATTATTCAATCGAAACCATTATACATGCCATTCTTAAGACACAAAAAGGTGAATTAAGCATCGCTTGCAATATGCGTCACGTATTCAAACTGTAATCCTGACTCAGCTATTCCACGGTTACAGACCCACAACATAATGCAATGTTATACAATTTATACACGAAGCAGGGTGCCTACGTGGTGTATCCACAACGCAATAAAACAATGGCCCATGACGCCTTTGCTAAAGAGCAAAACCATGGATAATGCAGGAAGGTGAAATGGGATGCCACATTGAATAAGGTTTTAGGGAGGTCGGTGGTTAATATGAATCTACCTGCTCTTAGGCATGGAGGAGATATTGATGATGAAGCTAGGATGGTGTACATAAGGGAAAATAGTGGCAAGCACAAAAACCTTGAAGTCTCTACCCGTGTACTTTTTAAAAATAAGATACAGTTTACCTTGGGGCAAGTCCTGATGGCCTTGTTTCTCGCCTCTGCTGTGGAAAGAGAGTTTTGGAAATTAAATATCCACTTAATCAATCTCATCAAAGAGAAAGGAAGTATTAAATTGAAAAGAAATAGTGCTTATTACACCTAGGTACACGTGGAGATGGCTGTTACAGCAAGAAGTTGGTGCCGTTTTTTTGTTTATACCCACAAAGGTTTAGTAACTGTCAAGGTGCAATATGAGGCTGGCCACTTTGCTGATGTGTACAGATCTTATCGTTTTGAGAAAGACACTGTCTGAGCAAGCACGCACCGTCAATCAGCTTTTGTTATTCGTTTTTACGTATGTGTATTTGAGACAAACAATTATTATCCTGGTTGTTCTATTGACCTGTTGTATTCGATGATTCAGAGGTTGTTCACTATAGACGAATTTTGTATCCCGGACAGCAGCTATGATTCTTATGATCAGGATAAACTTACAATTTCCATAACACAGATATGAAATTGGAGCATTTTAATTCTGGTACCCTACATATATGTCCCTTTATTACGAATTCCACAAAATTATACCACCGCAGGGGGCAAGTAAAAGAGGAAAAGGGGTTGCACTTTATGTACAAATAGACCTGGTTTATAAAGTTTGCAATGACTTACTGATTATAATTGAGATATCAAAGTACGTTTTATTGAATTGATCATTACAGGTAAAGCAAATGTTATAATAGGATTTGTCTACAACCCCCCCTGTGCGCCGAGTAACGGAAATTGTCAATACAATTTTGTCGCTCATATCTAATAAAACAAGGTTCTACATCACGGGTAATCTTTATGTTAACGTTATGGAACACAATCTATGAATACCCTTTAGTTTCACCCTTAGACCTATTGACAAACCGACAAAACTTGCTGTTTAATCAGCAACACTCATAGACAATATTTTAACCAATGATCTTGCAAATAATTCCTCATGACTGATGATACTGATCATCCTCCAGTGTTCCTAGTTACAAATAACTTCAAAGAAATATCTATATGTACAATCGGCAGAGAATGTGAAAACGTACTTTTAACGTCAGTTATATCCAAACTTTTATTAGTGATTTAAAGACAATTAACTGGGATTATATTACACTAATCAGTGATATACTGTATGCATGATTCCTTTTCAGTACAAGTTCAACGACTATATGACAGAAAATTTCCACTGCAAGATGTTATAATAATAAAATCCCCGTGGTTATCTGATGCCATTTACAATTCTATTGGGTGTAAAAACTATCTACATGTATACAGATAATTCTTAGGGATCCCAACCGAGATCAACAAACCTACGTACTCCTGTATAAAAAAATTGAATTATGAAATAAAATCTGCGAAGAAAAAATATCTTTACTCTAAATTCACTGGATATGATGACCTAAATTCTTTATCAAACAGTCATTAGCGAAGATTCTTGCATATATGTTGAATAAGTGTTTGACAGCGTGAGTATATGCTGATAACACCGATCAACGAAACGGGATCCACCCACAACATGGCTCACTGCATGCCAGTATCAATTCTGTGTAGCCTATGAGTAAATTATTTGAAAGACTTACTTGCCAGAGATTAATATATTTCATCAATAATCACAAGATTCTTTCTGAGCCAAAAATTGGATTTAAAGTAAAACATTCTTCAGAACTAGCGGTATATTATGGTATTAATAAAATGTATAGGGGGATTGATCAAAATTTCTCCATAGGGGTATTTCTGGATTTATCTAAATATTTTAAAACGGGATATTTTAATCAGTAAATTTGAGTATTATGGTGTGCAAGAAACAGCACTGGATCTTTTGGTAACAGACAACAATATGATTTGTATAAATTCTACCAAATAAGTCATTACCTGTGGAGTATGGGTCTGTGCCGGGCCCTCTACTCTTTATTCTCTGTAAACCTCAGATTGTATGACATTCTGTTCACTTGCCGATAATACTACCTTGTACACTAATGTAAATAAAGCTAGTCAAAACCTTAATTTGGAATTTACAAAGATCCGTAAATGGCTCTTTGCTAACAATTTATGTATTAATGCCCTAAAATCACACACAAATACAAGTATTATTGAATAATAGGATGTTAAGTAAAGTAAAAATTGGAAAAAAAATGGGAAGTACTAATTGGGGGGGTATTACTATTGATAAAAGTTACCGTAAATATATTGATGAACCAGGGAAAAACTCAAGATTATTGGTATCATGAATCGTCTAAGATATATATATTTTCCGGGAAATATTTCATTAACATTGCATAATTCTGTCATATCACCATATTTAAATTGTTCCATGTTAACTTGGGGCTGCACAACACGCAACCTTAACAATTTACTCACTTTACATAACGGGCGGGTCCGTATCACTTGGAATGCTGGTCATCGAGATTTATTCTGCTCCTTTCCAAAATTACACTTACTGCAACGCGACAGAGGAACGTTTGAGTACTCGCAGGCTAACGCAGAGGGCGCGCAAGGTGCTCCCCGAAGCTGGAAGAAGCCGGACCGCCCAGGATACGCTGATTGGCTACTGGTGCTACTACTGCGAGCTGTAATTACCTGTACAACGTCCGCAAAGCAGGCACAAAAAAGTGCACACACACACAAACACATAGTATACACGTATGTCCATGCGTGCCATTCAGTTTTTACGCATGCGCAGCAAGGTGTTTAAATACCACGCTCGTAGTAAACATGTCTCGACGCGTCATCAAGAGGGGTCTCTTTTATCCACTGACATCGTCTGTTCTGATACCGTCATGATGAATATATTAATATTAATTACAAGACTTGGGTGATAGACGTTATTTGCAGCCGTTGGTGAGTTCATGTGCGCGCTATTTATGCTGCACTTCGTCTCAACAAAAAAGCGATATTTTGAGCCAAAATCCGTGTTTTTAGCAACATGCTTGCAAATTAAGTACTGAACATGACAACTTGAGTTTTCATGGGTCTTTCAGACCGATTTATTTGAAGTTTGAGGCTTTTGAAAAGCTGTCGTTCAATCAGTAGAAGAGCAATAATTTTGTTTTTACCAGCAAGGATTGTTGAAATTACGTGTTTTTCTGCAAAATTTCAAGTAACAGAGGTGAAATAATTTAATTTACAGTGTAAATTCATGAGGAAATGGAGTTTCAAAATACTTCGATTGATTAATTTTAGGCAAGGGATGCTATTATAATATTGATTGAAGACATCAATAACCGATTGAATACTTTAAAAGCGTCTAGGGGTTGAACCAAGGACCGAGGCGGTCGTTGTCGATGCATATCCATTTAATTGTGTACACAATCCGGAGGGCCGTGTCGCTGTTGTTGTACTTGAAGTTGTACGTAATCGCCCATGTACATGTACATTGCTAGACGGAACCCTCGCAGTTCCAACGAAGATTGCTATTTTATTCATACAATAAGGAGTGTGGGTAAGTGCTATTTCAGCTTTTTGAGGAGAAACTGAGATCCAGGATAACATAGTTTGTATGTGATCTTCCGTTTATAGATATTTCTTTCTGCTTGCAGTTTACAAAATAGGTCTCGTATACTCGTACTCGTAGTAGTCTTCTTGACTGTCATTGGAAAGAAACTCTGATAAATGTATACCCTGTGTGTTTAGGCCTTGTTTTGACGTGACAAGGGACAAGTTGATACGGCAACATAAGTGAATGTTTCATGTATCGTTGTTGGCCTATGTAAAGTGGCGCATGTAGCTATCTGCTTGTGATTGTTTACACCTGTTTTCATTTAATTAAGGGCAGCAGGCCTATACTAGTATTCTACGTACATATGTATGTATTCAGAAACCTGCATGTTTTTTACAAGAAGGCATATAGTTCCAACTTTGACTTTAAGATAGTTGTCAGCTAGAACATAAATTATATTTGGCTGTACTTTTGCTGGTTTGTGTTCCTCAGTGGTCTCCTCTTGTTGCGGGACTTGTCTGGATCCAGTGCGTCTCAATCACTGCTTTTAGGATGTCTGTTGCTTCCCTGATACCTCTGATATTGGAACGGATGTTGTTCAGACGTGCGTGAACTGATTCCCCCCCTTGTTCGCCATGGAATCCCAGCCCAACTCTCCATCTTCGAATCCAAGGAACAACGTGGCTCTCCAAAATGTGCATCTTCGGGGGGATGGATTCTTTGGGGAATTCTTCTCGGCAGAATGCAAGGTACTCGGCAATGTTGTTTTCTGGGGGAAAAAAAACAATGAAAGAGCAATCATGTATACAAGGTGGAAATTTTCATCAATACATTGAAAGGTAGTTTGTAACATTCGAATAGTTACTAACCAAGTGTGTTGATGTCTTCCTCCTCCATCTCCCTGGCCAAGTTGTATAAATTGTGGCAACTGGCAAATGCATGGAAAAGCTTGCTGTACTTGGCAGCAAGGCTCTCTGCTTCTCGTAGTCTTGCGGGAGAGGTTGGACAGACTTGCTTCACAGTCTTTACAACTGCACTTGTTAATTTGTAGATGTTCTCAGTCTGCAATAAAAAACAAAAGAAAAACAACATCAGAAAACAGATAAATGTTGGTTGTTTGGTTGATAGAGATTGTCAACTACATGTATGTTAACTTTGATCAATAGTGTTTACTTACCTTGCAGCATTTGTGTACATGATTTCCTACGAATGACTTGTTGTGGTACACTTGACGCTGAACTTTGAACTCTTGGAGGAATGAGTCTAGGGCACTGGTCAAAGGGCCTTGTCCAGGTGTCAGTTTTGCATCTTTCCTTAGTTGTGATGCTTGAGACGTCTGCAAAAATATTAGAGACAGTTTTCAACATGAGAGTTAAATCTTCATATTCATTGTAAGTATTCATTAGTATAAAAAGCATATTCATTCCTCCATCTTACAAACTGAGAGTGATGTACACTTACCAATTCTTTACTTTTCTGTGTACTTTCCTGTACTGACTCAGACAGGAGCTCCACTAGTGGGTGATCATTATCACCAACTTCTATCAGTGTAGCAGTCAGCTGTTCCTGCAGATGTTCTGCATTTGTGCGCCAGGAAGCTGCTTGCTCTTCCAGGTGAGTGGCTGCTCTGAGTGCCTGGATGTACTCTTGGCAACACCTACCCAGCTCCTTCTCCCCTTGTCCCTTTTCGCTCCTTGCGAGGGTCGATGCAACCTTCATGTCAAGCTCACTACAGGCAGCCTCTAAGCTGTTGAAGTGCTTCAGGAAAAGTCCCAGACTTATGTGTAAGCCAGGAGGACATACCTATGATGATAATATATGAATAAAAGACAGAAATGTTAAACTCTTGTTTCAGATGGCCTCATCAATACAACAAAAAGGTTTTCTGTCATGCACAACTCCCAGGACAATGTATTGTGTTTAAAAATTGGTGGACAACTTACATGGGTAAGAGGGATAGGAAGGATTGGAGCTCTGACAACATTGTTGTACATTTTGGCATTCCTTGGATCAGCCCCACTTGCTACAAAGTTGTCCAGGTCCCTTTTCATGCTGTCAAGGGTCCGCTGATGAACTGGTCTTCGCTTGGAATGCTTGAGCTGCATGTCTTCCTTAGTGATATCGCAATATAGGCAACAGTGGCGACCTAATTAAAAGACGTTAAATCATTAAAGTTATTATGTGTATTTATTGTTAGACTGAACATCACAAAATATTAATTTTAGTTGTTCATGAATACTTTCAATATATTCTTATTATATCAGATTCATTTACCTGAAGCTCCGCTGATGCCATACATGCGACAGAGGTATTCGTAATCTCCGAATAAGATGTCAAAGGTATGTCCCCTTGGAAAAAAATGGTACGAGTGAGGTTATGATGGATAAAACTCGTTAATTTTTTTAATTTTTGAAATACATGTAAAAGAATTGATTGATACTATAAGTTGCATTTTCTTAGTCAACCTTTTTTTTGTAAAGGTTTACCTCCATGTTGACTCCATAAGCTCCTTCACTTGCTGCTGGTGACGTAAGAGGCCAAGTTTGATGTTGTGAATTGTGTCTGATGCCTCAAAGATGGTTATTACTGAAGTGTTGGATAGTGAGTTGGGATGTTGAACATTTCCAATTTGAAGCATTTGCTTGAATGTGCCACCTCCTTTGTCTCCTCCTATCTTTATCCAAACTTTACCCTGGGGAATCAATCCTTCGTGCCAAGTCAGTTTTCCAGCACTGGTGATGAAAGGAGCATAGAAAGAAGATTTCTTTGAAACTTGTGCAGACAGATATTCCCATCAAGATACATTTACAGTCGATAGAACTTCTTGTGGTTACACATTTAACCCTCCTGTTTGTTTGCAATGACCACTGTTGTGCATCTGTCACATTTAATGATTGGTTTTTAAAGCAATGCTTACTCTTCATTCTCTTGCAGCTGCTGTATCACCTTGTCATGGAGCGACCTGACTGCAACGCATGCAGCATTTTTCACGACAAACCCACCGTTAACTTCATCGGGAAATGTAAATGGCAAGTACTCTGCAATTATGTTGTCGTTAATAACTGCCTTCTGTTGAGAACGTAGCTTTGCTTCGTACTCTGTGTGGATTCCATACTGTTGGAGCCAGCTGAGAAAGATAAAACAGTCAGAAATGTTTTGGCTTCATCTCTGTTATGAAAATCTGGGATATTTTGAAGTGCATTTATAATCTGATGAAAAGTTGCATGCTGCACAAGATGGCAAAATTTACTAACCATTTTAACTCTCTGTTTCTTTTCCAGCTAAAACACATGTTTGCCTTAAGTGAAAGGAGATCACCCTGGGGAATCCTGATATGCTGCAGACTGCTAAGCTCTTGTTGAAGCTCTTTGTGGTCTTTCTGCAATTTGATTTCATGAGCTAACTGAACTTGAACTGAGCCCCCACTGATGATGTCTCTAGCTGTCTGCAGAACACGTGTTCTACGCCTTTTGGCAGATGAAGATGCCTCCTCGCTGGTTCGACGTGGTTTGGGAATGCAGACTGCCACCAGTTGCTGCAGAATGAATTATGCAATTTGTAGTGTCACCAATACATCCAGCATTTTGTGTGTGTGTGGGGGGGGGCATTTAAGGAAATGTTTTCAGAGGAGGATTTTGAGAGTCTTTCTATTTTAGAAACCCCTTCTTTATTTCGTCATTGGTAGTAGTTGTTTTTGTTTGCTTTGGGGGATCTTTTTCCTTTTTTCCTTTTCCTCAGGGGGAGGGGGCAGCGTTGGGGGGTTCTGACCATTCATTTTTCTCTTCAAGAAAATAAGCAAAACTACACTTTTGTATTAGTTCATTTGTATACATGTATATGCTTCCACAGATAAAGTTAAAATACAGACATGCTGCCAGGATTCAAATTTGTGCAATCTTGCCTTAGATGCAGGCTTTTACCCTGTAAAGTAAATACATTTTTAAAAACTTGTATATATCATAATTTATAAATGTCAGTATTGATTGAAATTGTGGCAAAGTTTTCTATTAAAATCTTACCTGTCCACCAGTCTTAAAAGTAGTGGAAATACCATCTGATGATTGTGCCAGCTTGGATTTTAGTATTTGTGTCCCCAGTTTCTCTAGTGTAAGAGGTAAAGGATTTGGCATGATGGGCTCTTTGAGGGCATTATGTATTTCTTTGCTGATGGAGAGAACAGGATTGCATTTGTGTCCTCCTGTTTCAGACAAGGGCAGTACTTTATTGCAAGAATCACATTGGAGACTTGTGGTGGTGAAGGCTTCCCAGTAGTATTGCTTGACAGAGGCAACCTGCTTGTAATGTGTGACAGAGTTATATACAGGGCAAGGAATTTTGACCCTTTTCTCATTTTCATATTTTGTCTTTATGCATGTCAAGCAGAAGACATGGTCACATGGCATTGCTACTGGGCTGCTTAAAAGTCTCTTGCACACCCCACATTTAAATGTGTTGCATGTTGCTGAGAAACTGCTGGAGTTTACAGGCTGTCTAAAGTTGTTTCCCAATGAATTTAGGGACTCGAAATGGCTGTCAAGGTTTTCAGGGGCCTTTGGTCGACCTGGGTGTTTTGGTTTAGGTGGTCTTCCTCCTCTTGACTGCTTGACACAATCTCTGCAGACCTCACATTGTCCTGTTCTTGGATGAGGCCTCCAACACACAGTTGTTTGTTCATTTGTTTGTGTTCTTGTCTGGAATAACCTCGAGTAGCAGCAATGGCAAATATGCTGTGGATGAATATCAGTCGTGTCTCCACTTATGTCCACTTCAAACCTGTGTTTTATTTTGTCCTGATATGCGGCCGCAAGTTTTGCCGTCTTCCCTTTGGCATCCTCGCATTCTTTCATTGTTCTTTTTGCGCATATTCTGCATAGCCGTTGTAGATATTTTTTGTGACCCTCTAGCGTGGATGTAAGCCCCGGCCCCAGCATTAAAGACATTGTAAAACTTTGATTGTGACGATGATACTGAATGAAGTAAAAGTAAGCGCGTCAAAAGCGAAGTTATTTTTTTGAACCACGAAGAAGCGGCGGGAAAAACTTTTGTGTAGTGTCGATTCCATGTTTGTGTAGGGTATCGATTCTTTAGTCTGACAACAACAATGATTAAAAAATGAAAGCAGGAACCTTTTTGTATTTAGTGTTTATTGTTATTTAAATTGTAAGTCACAGCCTGTAGTTTTTAAAGCATGAAACCTGTCCAGTCACACTTTTTGTGCGTGAACCCGAGTTGGCGATACCGCGTGTGCACCGCGGAAACGTGTGGATCGGTTAATTGTAATGATCAAGCAACTATCGCTGCCACTGTGAATCTGTTCGGAATTCCTGCCCTTGAATCTCCATTAAAAAAAATGTAGCACTGATCAACCTTCTTGCAACTATAAATGTGATGTCTGATCTACATAATGTATTGGTGATTTTTCTCGAGAAAACTCCTAATCAAGGACAATCCACCGTTATATTAGTACATTATTCTCATTCCTCTAACGTTATGCGATGACACAATCACCGCTTTGCGCATGCGCAAAGTACGCACGTAATTCTGAACTAAGTGCTGCACGGATAGCGCGCATTGGACATACGTGTATAGTAGTGGAATTTCAGTTCGTTGCTGGCAATCACCTAGTCTACATGTACTTGACGCACCACAAAAAGAAACTGGAGAAGTACGCTCTATTAAGTAATCTACGTAACGTGTGTGCATTGTGCCTTGCGAATCAGAAGCAGCTGATTAGCTGAAGGATAATGTGCCCTAGCAAAATAGTCGATGCATCGAGTCCGCAACGATGGAATCTAGTAAATGTTAAACTGCAGGTGTCTGTAGTCCTAACGGCTGCTCGTACGTGCATTTGCCTCTGCAAAGATCACTTTAAAGATCTGTAGACAAGATTTAACCTGATAAACAATACATAATTAGGTTATAGTTGAATCCTTTATCATAGTATTTATCAAACACACCAATGGGTCCTGCTCCCACTGAGGGGTGTGGCAGATTTTTTTAGCATGGTACATTCATGAGTAAAATAAACAAAGCAGTGTGGGGTGAACAACTATGTCCAATTGATCAAAATGTCGATGGTTAAGAAAAATGCTGTCCATCAATCGGGATCTGTTTCTCTCATTTGTCAATTATTCTGCTTACATTCTAACTATTTATTATTTTAATGTCGGCATTGTTTCACACTTCTTTCGTTTGGTATATCTCCCTCGTTTGCCTGTTCCGCGTTTGAGGGTTCCTGCGTAACTTTACATCTAAAGGTGATCCAATTTCTGAAATGCATTATACAGTACTTGAGTAACGCGAGCATGTTCAGTTACATTGCAATGAATGGCAGCATTAAAAGTAATGTTTGAACATGTAAGGTTTTTTGTATCGATATCTTACACACACCATCGGCGGTACGACATCAAATGCCACAGCAATTCTGATTTCTCATGCAGTCTACCCCAACTGTTAGTCATGTGAATACTCGCCCTAGAAACTTCACACAAACGATGACTGGGATTGCACGAAATGCGTCTGTTGTAGCATTATTGACAGTTCACGTGTTTACAGTGATACTCTTAGCTTTTATTACATTCTTGGCTTCTGTAAATTAAACATGTATCTCTACATTTTTCTTTCGTTTTCCCGTACCTTAAAGGGTTATACACCACTTTGTATTTAAGGCGGAGTTGACAAGTAACTTGGCAAAATATTTGCATTTCTTGTAGTATAACTTCATAGTTGATAGTACCAAAAGATGTACGTATAATGCTCCTTCAATTGGCTTAGACATGTAAACCACTTTACCAATATTTATTGATTATTAATCAGCTTTGATATTTAGCTCCGTGAAAAGAAGAGCAATGCCACAGTTTATACACTGTTACGTCCTCAATCTCGGCAAAAAGCATTTGTCAGTGCTGATTGTTGTCACGGGTATTTTCGCAGTAGATATATTTAACTTCATTTGCTGTGTACAATCCTTACCGTTACACTGTGTGACGCTCGTGCAGTCATAAATGATTTCAAAGTGATTTAATTGCATCAGTATTTCTTCTGTTTATGGACTCGAGTCTATAGAGCTGGGAGGGGGCTCCCCAGGTCAGCTTGCACAGTCGTGAGAGGCATGATCCCTTGTCCATAAAGACTGTTGCCAACCTGGAAAGTTTTAGATTGAGCGGTTTGTTGGTCTACACCCACTTAATTCTTCAATCGCATCTTTAGACTGCGGACACTTGCAGTCATAAGTCACATCATTTGACAAGTAAGCAAGAAGTGTTTTTGAACTTGGCCTACATGAAAGTTGACATGTGCATTACTTAAGTACCATACCCTTGTCAGCACTTCAGTTAGGGGATTCAATTAGATTAAATAACGAAATGAGACGTCATTATGTGATTGATCTTATACGGGTAAAGTAACTTGTCGCACACCAGTTTCATGCGAATCAGGTTTTTCATACCACACGGCCCTCTACAGTATTTATAATATAACAATGTAGTTGGACAATGCAATGAGATAGCCACGGTCTTGATAGTCAAGATATTTAGTCAGATTTGTGCTTTCTGAAAGTGCCATTTTTAGAAGAGAGAATGAGTGTTGATGGTATTATGTATTTCTCAGCCAAATCCTGATGGTCCCCATTTTGGTAGACAAAATTTCGTTACAATTACCTATCCGGTGACATTTCAAATACACAGGCTAGATATGCAGAAGTTGCATTAAAGTATGGGAGATCAATATAGATAAGTGATCAAGGAAAGTATCAAAATGATTATCAGCTGCATATATTTCCAGAGTATAATTAGCTTAGATGGCCATTAAGCTTTTGGGTATAGGTTTTAAAACGTGAATTCATTTCTTCAATATGACTTGTTTGGTGTAGCTAGCATTTGGCTCCTTTATTCTAAATCACAGTAACCAGGCTCTGCTAAAGATTGCATTGCGAAAGAGAAAAGTTATACTGTTAATATTTAAACCCAAATGCGAATTTCCTCAAAAAGATTTCTTTTCTGAAGCATCAATTTCTACCTTTTAGCTGTTTCCTTTGCTTACTGCAAATTACAAACATAAAGCATTGTGCATCTTGTACATGCTCAACATGTCTTGCCGTTTCTGCAACACTTTAAACTTTGAACCAAACAAGTGAGGTTTGGGCAGTCATACCTACAGTATATACTGTAGAAGTGCCGTATAGTCTTGCTAAAAGCCATGTTGGCAAGGATTGTGGAAGTAGAGAATTGTGCTGAGGGTGGGTATTTGAGGACAATATCCCTTCTGTTCATCTGTCATTTTAGGCAAATACATGCACCGGACCAGATTTGTTACTCTCCTTTTTTAAGGTTTGGGACAATAACACAGTCTTATGTGACGCTTTTCGCCATGGAGACGCGAGTGGTCAGGTTTACCTTTTCTGACTACCTTGAATCGGATATCTCTCTCATTTTCCAGCGTTGTTGTTGGGAGGGTTAAAATGTATTTGCAATAATTCTGGAATTCGCACTTAATTGCTTTCATGAATGGGCCTTTACCTTCCCTACAGCCGTTTTTTGGTTCAGTTGTATTAGTGGGCTAACCACGCAATATGAAGCTGTCGACGTACGGTAAATGTAAACTAAATCGTTTAAAACCATGGTTTTACTTTTCAATTCTCCCTGTCTTGAAGAACTGCTATAATTCAGGTCGCCGGGTGATACAAAATTGAAGGTGTGTGTGTCTGGATTTATGTCTTCTTGTTGGAGTAAACTGGGGATCTTGCCGGTAAGGTTCAACATCTGAGCTCAGCGACGGACAGCCTGCAGCGATCGTTTTCCTTGCTATCTTATTAAGATAAGAAAAAGGTGCCAGCTTGTTTTTCTAGTTGTTTTTTTCAAAGTGGTTTTATTTTACCACTTTGTTGCTGAGACACTGATGAAAACCTTACTTTTGCTAGTAAAAGATTTTGTAGGGAGTTCACGTCCTTGTCAGTAGAATCGCTACCTGGTTGTCTAAAGAAAGCATTAGGTGGAATTTGTCATCATGTGCTTCTGTATTTGGTCCCCATTGAGGTGTTCTTCGGCGTAGAGATTGTGTCTTGGGAACTTCATTCTTGCAGGCAGGATCTCTCCTGGACATGCTAGAGGATTTCCATTTTGGGCAATAGAAAGACGCGTCCTCATTTCCGGACTTCTGCTCAAAGCAAACGCAACCAGTCTAACTGGAAACGCATTATGG